CTTTATTTGGGACTTGGCTTAATGGGATTGACTCCGCATTAGCAAGGCAGATTCGGGTGGGAGTTTGTGCGTTGTTGTGGACCATCTGGTTGTGCAGAAATGATTTGGTTTTTAACAGAGCATCACGAATTCATTTTTTGCAGGTTATATTCCGAGCTACAGCTTTGATCCGTTCGTGGTCATTACTCACTCCGATGGAGGCCAGGGAGCATTTGGTTACTGGGTCTACCCGATGGAAAATGGTTGCTCGGGTTATCTTCAACCGGTTTGGATGGCGGTCATGTAATAGGATAGGCAATTAGTTTTCCTATCTTCTTTACACTGCCGGTTGTGGCTTTTTTATCTCTGGCTAGTCTGTGTTTCTAGCCTTTCTTTCGTTTATTTTTTAGACTATGGAACTTTGTATGCACGACTTGCTGTTTTCTTTAATAAGAGGGCCGTATGCATCATTCTTGATGCAGAGGCCGGGGTACTCCCCTTTTCGGAAAAAAACATAAAAGCACATAGTCCATCCCCAGGATCGCTTTTGCCCTTCAGTTCCACTTGGGAGGTGATCTCTAGTAAGTTGCCTTAAGAAAATCTTGATCTTGGTGGGAATCTTTGCCTTCCAGATATCCATCACTTGAAATTTGGCTACACCTTGATGCAAAGGGTGATATAAGGATTTGGTTGTGAACTGACCAGAAGGTTCAAGCTTCGAAGTGAAGGCACCTTCTGCCATCTAGGGAGATATCGAGCCTAATAATATGGCTAATAATATTGCCAATCTCTGCCACTGTGTGCTCCGCTTGTCCCAGGGGTCGTTGGAGTGTGTGTCGCCATTGGCCATGCTGCCATATATCACTAAACATCGCGTCACGATCTCGGGCGATGGTGAACAGCTCAGGAAACTCATGCTAGAGGGGTCTGTCCAATCCATTGGTCAAGCCAGAACACGGTGGTTTCTCCATTCCCTACGTGATGACCGCGCCAATGTGGAGTACGTGACGAATCCCCATAGTTTTTTAGAATTGTGAGCCATGTGCGGTCGAAGCCTTCACAAAGAGGGCTCTCTGCAAATATTTATGGCGAATGATATCTGGCCACGGCCCACCTGCCTTGTTAAGATCTTGCAAGCCCATTTGGTCATCAGACACCAATTCATGAGTTTGCTGTTGATGATGCCTAAGCCCCCAACCTCCTTGGGGGTGCATATGGTGCTCTGTTTTCCAGAATCCTTCTCCCAAAAAATTCTGGATCGAACATAATCGAATTTCGCATGTACACCATCTTGTAATAAAAAGAAGCCCATGATGAACATTGGGAGACTGGACATACAAGAGTTTATGAGCGTTGATTTTCCCCCGGTCGACTAATGCTTTCCAATCCATGGTTCGCGTCGCTTGCCGAACCGGTCCATGATAAATTCAAAGTCTTCGATTCTTAGATGACAATTATTAAACGACATCCCTAGGTATTTGATAGGAAGGGCCCCGAGCTAGCAGTTCATCATGTGGGCAGCACGCAGCTATTCCTCGAGGTCTCCTCCAGTGAAAAAGCCTCGCTCTTGTCATAATTGATTTTTAGACCCGACATACACTCAAAGCACACCAGCAAGAATTTGAGTTTGACAATGCTGGTGGTGTCGTTTTGTATCACTATAAAGTTACATCGAACTATAGCCATACGTGGACTTATGCACGTATTTATTTAGAAGAAATCCTTGATAAAGTTAGGCAATAGTACATTTCAGTATATAAATTCAAGAGAAAGAGATTCTACCACATGCACATGATATCATGTGCATTATCTGCCATGCACTGAGTTGGACGTTCACACCTCCACCAATGTATTCACTAAATAGTGTTCCTTCCACGTGACACCTTTTTCCATCATGCGTGGCAATGTTTTCCCTAGATTCCCTCCGCTTGTCCCTTGCCTCGCACACCGCACACACAATGAGTTTTCTCTCCCACTCACTATATAGTACATGGATTTTATTTTTATTCTGAGACTATTAAACAACTGTGTATGTTGAAACAAATCTTGGACAAATATTACGTTTGACCCTGTGTGTCTTTCTTCCGATGACATCTTCAAAACATGCCCATATCAAATATGCTTTGACAATCTTGAAACACGACAAAACTTATAGGAAATGGCCCGGACCACAAGAAACACGATGCAACATTACGGTACACACTGGAACAAGGTAGCACACAAACACAAAAGAAAACATTATAATGGCTCCAAAACGCGATGAAATCCAAAAAATATGGTGTGAAACACAAAGAAATTAACACTGTAGTGCACAACTGAACAAGTCAAAATAAAATAAAATAAGGCAACACCGAAGTACAGAAGGAAACATTATAGTGCACCCCAAAATATGGTGAAACCCAACAAAATTGGTTGAAGCACACTGACAGAATAGGACATTGTGGTGCACACCAGATTAAGGCAGCACACTAACAGAAAAACATTATGGTGCACTCTCACGACGAAACACAAAAAATTTAGATAATTATTATTCTTATATTGTAGGAAGTTGAATTTGTGTCTTACATATTAGATGGTGCACTAAATAAAAACCACTGTCCATATGAGTAGTTAAAAATATGTGTTGTGAATAAATCATTTTAAAATATATATTTAATTTGGTCTTATTTTAAATAACTCATCGGAATAAACACAATTGTTTGTACAAAATATGAATCAAGCTTTTGTTATGAAGATATCAGGCATCTAATTTTCAAATGAAACTCAACTAGTTGTGCCTAACTTGGACAGAGAATCTGGTTTAGTTGATACTAGCTAGGATGTTAGGTGAGGAAATCACAATGCATATCCCAATGTAGCATGCGTGGCTCCATGCATGAATGTCCAAGCCACTGAAAAGATAAGGTTGCAGTAACTAGCTAGTGTTATATGGCACTCCTCAAATCGCATTTCACCTTTCCATTTTGGTGTAATGGGACGATCAGCACATGATCGATGTCTGTTGTAGTTGTTGTAGGCTATGTAACATGCATCCAAAACATTTTGGTGCAATGGGACGATCGTAACTCACACGCATCCTGCAGCTGCATGTGTCAAGCAAAATAACAAACATGGACCATGAGTCCATGTCCATGTCTCCGTGATGATTATGAACATGCGTGTTGAGATCACAGTGCTGATGATATCTTGAGGTTTCCTTGGTGGCTTTATGGATGGATTCAGTCAGAAAAAACTCCGTCACAACTTTGTTTGTCCAACCGAATAACATGCATCCGGGAGAACCATTTACTTGATGTTTGCTTGAACCCATCATCACTGATGCTCAACTAGTCCATTTGACAAGGCCCTAACTAGTAGCCTTAATAATATATAACAACATGATAACCCGGGGATTTCAGATTGTTAGGAACAGAAGAATTAGCAGTAAAGTTCATTGCGCACTTGATAGAGGCAATGACACAAAAATAGATGCAGCACACCGACACAAAATGAAACATTATGGTGCACTCTAAAGCACGAGAAACTGAACAAAAATAGATTAAAAAAACATCCTTATATTATAAAATAAGAATTTGTGTGATACACTTAGATGGTGCACTCTGAAACAGAGTGAAAAATATCTGAATAAAAACTACTGTCCATATGAATAGTTTTAAAAAATATTGCATTTGGGTTTTGAAGGTTTTTTGAAAATATATTCAATATTGGTCTTGTTTTAAAGATCTCATACAAATAAACAAAATTGTTCAAACCAAATGTGAATCAAACTTTTATTAAAAGGGATACCAGACATCTCGTTTTTAAAAGAAAATCAACTATATTTGGGGCTACATTTGATGGAGAATCTGGCTTGGTTGATACTAGACTAGGACATGGTAGGATGTTAGGTGAGAGAAATCACTATGCATATACCATTGAAGCATGCAACGATGGATCCATGCACGAGCGAGGCTCTTCACCTTATGCACAACAACGGTGGTGCGGTGCTTGCATATGAATGTCCAAGCCACCGAAAAGATAAGGCAGCAGTAACTAGCTAGTGTTTGCTGGCACTCCTCACATCGCATTTCGTCTTTCCATTTTGGTGCAATGGGACGATCAGCACATGGTACCTGCTGTTGCCGTAGGCTAGCTAGGTAATATGGATCCAAAACATTTTGGTGCAATGGGACGATCATAACTCACACGCATCGTGCAGCTGTATGTATCAAACAAAATGACAAACATGGATGATGATGATGAAATGAGTCTTGAGATCAGAGTGTTGTTGATATGTTGGAAGTCACAGCTTTGTTTGTCCAACCGAATAACATGCATCCGGGCAAACCATTTACTTGATCTAATTCTAGCGTTTTGAAGATATTTGCTCGAAGCCATCATTGCTGATGCTCAACTAGTCCCTTTGACAAAAGCCCTAACCAGTAGCCTTAATAATATACTAAATAACAGCATGATACACCGGGGGTTTCTGATCGTTAGGAACAGAAAAGGAATTACTAGCTACTCCGTAGTAAATTTCATTGCACACTTGATAGAGCCAATGACACATGCATTCTTTGGTCCTAACATCTTACACTGATAAAGAGTAGTGAAATCATCCCCAGCATCAGAAGGAAAATAAAAACAGTGAAATCAAGCATGTAACAGTGTCACATGCATGCTCTGCAACATAGATAAACCAAGCTAAGCTCTTGCGGAGCCATGATTGACAGATCGAGCTCGCAATCTCATAAGTACATAGCAGTACCAAATGTTTCTTGCATACTCATCAAGCTAATAGACCCAAATCTAGTGATCGACTACTACTAAGTAGTAACTGCAGGGAGGGATCCATAGTATAGAGAGTCCCGTAGCAGCTCCGGATTCCGGCTCAGGCCATGCCTGCTTATTCCTGCGCTGCAGCTCCTCTAGCTACCATCTAGCAACCGCCACAGCCTCCCCCGCCACCGCCACCGCCACAGCCCCCTCCGTCACCGCCCCCTCCGCCGCAACAAGCACCACCGCGGCACCGCCTCCGCTAGATGAAGCTACAGCTGCCGCAGCAAGAAAGAGGGCGCTATTACCGTCGGCTGATGTGGTCCACCGTCCACGACGAACTTGCAGTGGTCGCCGCCGCCCGCGGTGGCGGTGCCCTGCTGGCCTTCTTCTTCTCCGGCCTGTTGCCGCAGAGGAGGACCATGACAGATATGGCCACCACCCCCAGCAGCAGAAGGAGCCACGGCGTCTGCTGCTCCTGCGTGCCCAAGCCCGCAGCAGCAGCGGAGGCCAGAAGAGCTCGCTTCATTCTGCTATGGTCCCTCCCTGGCCTCTACCACTGGATATCTCTCACGAATTTGAGTTTGGATCAAGTGCAGCGCAAGATTTGAGGAGGAAAACAGAGTAGCGAGGGAGAGAGAGAGAGAGAGGAAGAGGGGATACTGCAGGAACCCACGGCTCTCTCTGAAACCCCGGCCGTGAATAAGGAGTCGAGGGCTCGACGCTATTTTTCTTTTCATTTTTTTGAGTTGAAGGGCGCGACGCTAGTAAATTCCTCCTACTTTTTTTTGAGACAAAATTCCTCATAGTTGACGCCGACGCCTGCGGTCGTTCGCTGCTGGGTCGCAACCCAAGTTGGCGTTTTGTCAGCTTCCCAGTGGTTTTATTGATTTTATTTTGCGGTTATCTGTGACTTTTTCACTGTGTGTCCGGTTTTCTATGGTTTTTTTTCCTTCCTTTTCTTTTCTTTTCTTTTATTTTTCCAATTTTCTTTTTTATCCATGTCTTTCCTTTTTTAAATGCAAATGCATGGTGAATATATTTTTAATACACGGTGATTTTTTCATACACATTGAACATTTTTTTATATATGTTGAGCCTTTTTAATGCATGGTGAACTTCTTAATATACAATGAACTTTATTATATATAGTGAATTTTCTTAATATCTCTTTTGAAAAGTAAAAGGGGTGGAGTAAACCTGTTTTTATTTTCTTTGCTTTAGTTTTTTTTCTCTATCTAGAAGTGGAATAGAATAATCCGGTTGAAGGGTAATGATCATAAGTCGACAGAGCAATAAGCACTAGGGTATCCACCCGCCCGCCGGTTCGAATAGCCGGTTTCCTCCCCTTCCGCTCAAGCTAAAGGTTCTGGGCTACGGCTTCCGGTTCGGACACTGAATAATGAGAGAATCGTAGAAGTTATCGGAAGTACTGATTTTTTTTCCAATATATGTTGACCATTTTTTTAATTATGATGATTTTTACAATTATATGGTGAACTTTTGAAATATAATGTTATTTTTTAATATACATTGAGGTTTTATTTTACTATGCAATGAACTCTTTTTTAATGGATGATGAATTTTTAAAAATATACGGTAATCTATTTTTTATATACAATAACTTTTTAAATGGAAGGTTTACTCTTCTTAAGACCTATTGAACATTTTTAAATATTTCTTAATTTTTTAAATATGTTTATATATTAGATCCGTGAAACAATATCCAACAGGCGAGTTCTCAAAAAATTCAAATTAAAAACGAACGATAAAAACAGAAGAAGAAAAACTTGCTCAAGTGAGCTTGCTATAGTGGGCCACCCCATTTTGCGCCTTCCTCAAGTGTGGTTCCCCCATTTGACTCCAACGTCAACCAGGAGGTCTCGTCGAGGCTAAGTCTTTACGTTGCACATGTCACTGGGTCATAGCAGTGATTGGGTCTACGTATCCTCTTGGCTCGGGCCGAACCTTTTGGAGTAGAACAGATGGAAGTAGTCGACACGACATCCTTCCCCTTGAACGAAGCTCAAAGTAATCTTCCCAAGATGCCAGTGATGTCGACTGTGAAGACCACTTGGCGAGGAATGTCGAAGTTGCCGCGACAGACAATATGGCATTTCAATACACAATACTTGCTCTGGAACTGGAGGCAGTATGTTAGGAGGTAGTTGCGCTGGCAAGACTGGTTCGGCCATGGATGAAGGTGGCAGTATTTCACGGAGCAGGAAGACATGGAAGACTGGGTGGATACAACTTGTCTCTGCGAACTTGAGGTTGTACGAGACATTAACCAATTTGACCGAAATAGTCCAAATTATTGAATAGAAAGTTTATGGTTAGCATGTTTAGTGATGGAGATTTTAACATAAGGCTGCAGCTTGAGGTAAACCAAGTTGCCAACTCCAAAAGTGCGGTCGGGGCGTTTCTTGTCCGCTTGTCCCTACTTCCTCTGGTTTGCTAAGAAAAAGTGTTGTTTCAGTAGACTGGCCACTAATTTTCATTCTTGCATCCATGACGCCAGCTCAGGAACTTCACATAGTGAAGGATCTACAACCCCGAAGTGTTTGGAGGACGACCATATAAAACTTCAAAAGGTGAGATCACCAAAGTGGACTTGTACGAGGTAGTGTACCAGTATGCCGCCAGATAGAGCCATTCAAACCACTTGTGCGGGCAGTTGGCGACAAAACAACATAAATAAGATTTGAGGCATTGATAAATCCTCTCTGTGGTGTCATTCATCTATGAATGATAAGCAAAGGACATCATAAACTTAGTGTCAACAAGCAAAAACAAATCACGCCACAGGTTGCTTGTAAAGACCCGATCTCGATCAAAAACAATAGCTTGGGGCACCCTTGGAGCTTGGACACATTCTGCATGTAAGTGTGTGTGACACTTGTGCAGCTGTGAGAGGATGCTTCACTGCAACAAAGTGGGCATACCTAGACAAGTTGTCAACAATAACCATAATGCAGGTGATAAGTTCCTATATAAGTTCTAGTTAACAAAGTGGGTTGGAAGTTCTGGACCTCAGAACACAAAACAAATCACAGACGAGTAAATTCGTATATCAGTTCTTTAATCAGCATGATATTCCATTCCGAAAAAGGGTTTCCCCCCGCTTTGTATACAAAGCAACCAACCGAACCATACATGAATAGGTGCTGGGGCGGAAGCAGCACAGTCACGCCCAAAAGAAACGACAGAGAAAAGCAAAAGAAACAAATGCCGAAAACGGCGGATCAACAAAACGAAGAAGCCTCGCGATCGCAGCGCCCACCAGAATCTTCCACTAGACTCCAAGACTCCGAAGCGCCGGCACCTATCAACACCTTCAAGAAGGATCGCGACGATGACGACACTGCTGCTAAGGGTTTCCCCCGGTACACGACGAGGCGAGAGGAAGGGTAGCTCCGACGCCCTCCCGGAAGGTCAGGTGGCACCCACAAGCGCCACCGCGTCGGCGTTGGCCATGCCAACAGGGGTTTCCCCCGATCCCAACCCGCACCTCGGGCGCCCCGGAGCCTGCCACCAAACCAACCACCATCGTGCGCCAATGCGGTCTTGAGGCCCCCACGCCGTCTCACCACGGCACCACGAAGTGAGGATAGCACGCCGAAGAATCAGAGCCGGGACTAGGGCATCAGCACCATCGGCACGCGGGAGGGCCCCACCTCCACCGTCCGCGACGGTAGCCGTCCGCGACGCAATAGCGGGAGCACACCAGGCCCGTGGGCCCACTGGCCCGGCCGAGCCCTCGTGGGCTCGCAAAGCTCCCGCCTTCGCGCTGCTGCCGGCACGCCGGCGGTGCCGCCGCCCCAATCCGAGCCGCTCTTCCTCCTCACCGCGCCGCAGACAACGAGGCTACGCCCAGGGACCGGCCCGCTAGGACCCAGATGGGGCCCTAAGGGCCCAGATCTGGGCCGAGGACGCGCCGCCGGCCACCCTGCGCAACCAGGCCGCCCCGCCGCCAAAGGACGGCGCCACCACCGCGACGGGCCGCCGCCAGCCATCTCCAGGCCGCCGGGCCGCCGCCAGCCGAGGGGCACCCGCCGCCACCCCTGCCCCGGGTCA